CCCTAAACCCTAAGCCCTAGAATATTCATGTCATGATTTCTGAAGTACGCACACTTCTGAAGTACGAACTGTCCCCTTGGCCTCCATATGTACTATAGTCTTAACTGCGTAAAAAGGGGGTTCTATAGGGGATTNNGGGTCTAGGGTGTAGGGTTTATGGTAGGACTTATGAGGTGGGATACTCGGAGTTTAGACTATAGCTCATATGAAATCACCGCAGGACAGGATCAAGCCAAGTAGGCCCAGATTCCCGAAGCTCTAAACCCCTGAGCCCCATAAACCCTAAACCCTAAAAGCAGCGGAAGTTTGGAGACCTAATCCCCTCTGTCACCCATGCGACCTATAGTCTGAAATCCCAGTATCCCCTTTACTAACCCCTATAGTAATCCCCTATCTCATCCCTTGTATAGACACCTTTAAGGAGTTTGGACGATAGCTCATGTGAAGCAGCGCGCCTGTGGCCGAAAAAGAAAAACATGAAGAACACGACCATGGGAAAGTCGACTGCTGCTCTCGGAAGCAGTGGATTGCCTCCACAGCAAAGGCAGTCATGGTTTCAAAGCTTACGGTGTGGATCATAAGGGACTTTCTCAGACTGGGGCCCCCCTAAACCCTAAACCCTAAACCACCTCGGGGGATCGGTAGGGGGATGGTAGGGAGGTTCGGCTCGCATGTATGTTGTTTCTATCGGGATTTTTGTTGAACAAAATCCATAAATGTCAGCACGGTTGGTTCGCCAACCCGGTTTAGGGTTTATGGGGTTTAGGGCTTCCATACCCTAAACCCTAAACCCTACTGCAAACCCTACGCCGCATCATTAGCTATCAGGTATACCGAATCCTGCGGTCCTTGCTCCGCACTTGGTAACTCAGATCCTGCAAGCTGAATTACTATTCAGGACCTGTGGTTTAGGGTTTAGAGTTTACGGCGTAGACCTTAAATTAAGCTACTAGAGTAAGGAAGCACCAGCGCGTTCACGACATACCCGTAGTACCTTTGTAAGGAAAGCCTATTAGGCCTATTACTATATGCCCATATTATGGTAGCCTTCCGTAAGGGCAACCCAGTAAATTGAGGGCTCTCTGACTTGCTGAAGCGGGGGGGGGGGTGTTGCTATTTTAGGGTTGGGATCCTAAGGGTCCAAGGACCCAAATAATAGGGTTTTAGGGCCCAAATACTACAATATCAATGGTATTTGGGCCCTAAAACCCTAATTATTATTTGGGTCCTTGGACCCTTAGGGGGATCTAGGGTTTAGAGTCTCGAGTCAAACTCCTGAGCCATACACATCCTTACGCCTAAATCCTGCTTGGGGCCATAACGAACCATTCGCAGTCGAACAGCAGCCCGCAGCTTCCAAAGAATCCTTGCAATGTCAGGTGTTAGGGATTTTTATAGTACCCTCCCCAAAGGTACGGCCCCCCCAGATTTAGAACCCTATTAAAGCCTTATTAAGCCCCATATAGTCCTGATCAGCTCCTTAAACCCTGGGGGAGGGTTACCTTTGGGGGGGATACTCTTGTAGCCCCTTGCAATGGTTGATGAACAGCCACCGAGGCAACCCGTAGCCCGAAACCGAGACCCGATTAGGATTAGGGTTTAGGAGTTAGGATTTAGGAGTTAGGGTTTAGGAGTTATAGGGTTTAGGATTAGGGCTTAGGAGTTAGGATTTAGGAATTAGGGTTTAGAAGTTAGGGTTTAGGAATTGAGCCCTGAACCCTAAATCCTGAATCCTAAAGCCCTAAACCGTAAACCCTAAAAAGGCTTAACCTGGACCCCAAAAGTATGTAAAATAATGGCCTTTATGGCTGTCGTTTTGGGTTTGGGGCTATTATTTTACCTACTTTTGGGGTCTAGGAAACCCTAAACCCTATACCCTCAATAGTAGTTTCCATTTTCTTTCCATTATCTCTATATTATACCTGCATGGGGGTGCCTAGATACCCATCCTAGAACCTGAAAACCTAAGTTACCTGCCGGCCTGCTAGCGAGCCAGGAGACTCGAAGTAAAGAAGCAGCACTGCGCTAAGCGCGAATGCTACCACAGATGCCTCTGCAAGGATTTAGGGTTTAGGATTTCAGGCTTGAGGATTTAGGGCTTCAAGATTTACGGGCTTGAGGGTTTAGGGGTTATGATTTAGGATTTAAGGTCTAAGATTTAGGGCTTTGGGTGCGCAAGGCCCAAATACCAAGCAATTGCTTGAGGTTCCCAATGATGGGGTAATTGGGATTTGAATAATGTCCTGTGGGACAAGCTTGAAGGGGTATACCCGTAACTTGAATTCGCTAGCGCTTGGTGGTAAAAACTTGTAACTAGTAGGTTTAGCCTGTGAACCTGTAGGGGTTGCGCTTACAGGTATGGTTGCTATAGGTGCTTGGACTCTACTGTAGATGGAGGAAATCCTACACCAGCCTGTATCCCGTATACCCTGGGAAGTACAGCGTTGTAGCATTCCACAGTGGCGCAAGCTTTTCTCAGGCCACCGCACCTCGATCTACCGGGGGACTATAAGCTTGCGATACATTTCCTCTATTCCTGGGAATTTCCCTTGGAATTTATATAGGCTCGGATTAGCTGGGCTGTCGAATGGGAAAACATGGTTTGCGTATCATGTAGGGATATGGTTTAGAGTTTGTAGTGGTGCTCCATGGTTGAACCAAGCCAGATCGTGTTCTAAACCCTAAACCCAAGGGATGAATCTTACTCTGTATGCGGGACTATAGTAATACCATGAAAAACAACATTCGCAAGAATTGCGCCATGTGAAGCTTCAGCATACGGCTATACTACCCTTTTCCCGTGTATGGGTGTTACCCAGTATGCGACATTATCTTTACCCAGACCCTCATTTGTAGGTCCTTTTGGGGTCCCATACTATAATCCCTTACCAAAAAACCATAACAAACCCGAAAAGGAACTACATGGGAGCCCTTGGGTGTAGACAAATGTTCGTGTAATAAAAAGTAGAACAACGACAGAATTCAACTTCATGGACAAGCCTATATGGTAGTTTCCGCAAATTAGGGTACCCGAATACAACCGCGAAGCAATAATATCCTTGTTATAGGGACCCCTTATTTTCAAAAAACCTCATGTGGACAGCCCTCGAGCTATTAGGGTTGTGTGTTTAGGGTTTAGGGGTTTAGGGTTTCGGGGTGAACCCTGAACCCGTTTTGAAACCTCAATCTTGCCTTTGTGGCCATCGCACAGTTAAGATGGTAGCAGACTGCAAAGGTCTTTTGCCAACGTCCTGCAAGTTCAGTTTCAGGTATATGCCAGGGGCTTACTGATCCGACATGCCCTACCCCCTAAAACGCTTTTGGCTATATGTCCCTATAGTTACATTAGCCAGCTAAGAGGAGACCATTGGTAGTTTCTCAGGCTCCTACATTGGGCGGGTCGACCCTAAACCCTAAACCCGAAACCCTAAGCCCTAAACCCTAAGCCCTAAACCCTAAGCCCTAAACCAGGGATTGGGTCTAGGGCTCAACATAAACAGCTTCAAGCTTTACTCAGATATTCATGCCTTGTTGCATCAATTCTGCGTGAGCCCTGTGAGTAAGGGACAACCCTGACATATAGCAAGTTTGGCGGGTCAGTTTGTTGCATGAAATAGGAATTTCTCAGAAGAATCCCTAGAGAATCCCAAAGAAGGAGCCCGCAGAATCCCCTACAATCCTTTCACATGCCTTCGCAAAGACATTGTTTTGGGTGGCTTGAAATTAAAGGGCCGTCCGAATTGTTGAAGCTCCTGAAGCCTTAAACCTTAAGCCCTGAACCCTACCTGGTACTTGGTTGGGGAAATAACCTATGAATATGTAGGACAGAACACCGAAAACAAAAAAAACAAACTAAACCCTAATCCATAAGCCAAGCTTGCCTTTGCAGAACCCCCAAAAAGGGAAGGACATCCAGGGCCCAGGTACGAAGTGAAACCCGGCAGTTCGCAATGGTTGGGTTGGGTTTAGGGTTCGGGATTTTGGACACAGGGTCTGGGGTTTTGTTTGAGCATTGAGAGATTAGGAGTTGAGAATTCACGGTTTAGGCAACTGGCAGGGGGAACCCTGAAACTTGGCATCTTGACTTACGGAAACTATGCTATTGAGCTACGGAAGATAGGGCATAACCTCTCTACCAATTTGCATATGTATATATTATATATGTGTACACATCCTGTGTATATGAATATCGTATATGTCTATATAAGCACACGCAAGAATGGAAGTGGTTGAAGTCATGTCCAATAGGCATCTGGAATGTTATCCTTCTTGGGGACTCTTGTAGGCCTACTAAAAATGCTACTCATGTAGCGTCCCTCTACGTAGCTCCTGCACTCCAAGAATGGCTGATGAAAAGGTCCACGCTGTCCACCACTCGACTTGTACGCTCGAAGTCGTTGAGGACAGGCCTTATAGAACCCTGGGGCTCTACCCAAGGGCTTTAGGGTTTAGGGTTTAGGGTTATGTAATTAGTTGTTTTTTTTTGGTTTGTTATGGTTTTGGGGTAAGGGATTATAGTATACTACCCAAAAGGACCTACCTAGGAGCGGCTGGGTAAGTTCAGAAGCCAAACTACTTTCGGCACTGAAGTCTGTAAACACTGGGTAGTCTGGGGCTTCTAGGATGCAAAGGGAAGGAGGGTGGCTGTGTAAACTCATGGGGGTTGGATAGGGCAGCCCCGTTGCTACTGCTACTACAGCGATCCGAAAGCATACCCGCAATGACAGTTTGCAGGGCAGCGGGGTAGGGAACATATTCAGGAAGCAACCACTGCGCACAGGGCTTGTCAATTAGCAAATGGATGTGTTGGTTATCTCGGGAACACTATTGCTCATTCCCCAGGCTTCTGAATTAGTCTAAGACCCGGCTAATAAGTTCAAACCAGAGCTGCGCAGACTGGCTGAGAGGTTTCTCACACCGGTCCGCTTTGGTTCTAAGCACCCACCAACTTAGTGCCGGGGGAATTATGTGCAATGTAAATATAAGTTACGGGCACGCGTATGATTGCTAAGCACTTGGACCCTTAGAGCCAGATTTCTTGGGATATATATGTATATATGTGCATATAGATAGATAGATAGATAGATAGATAAATAGGTTTATATATATATATAAAAGCCAGAGTCTATAAACTCCTAGTATCCCCCTTATCACCCGTATAATACTCCTCTATATAACCCCTCTAAGAAGTTTAGGCTATAGCTCATCAGGGGAAGCTTATCCTGCAGAGATGCATTCTGCGCGGATTTAAGGTTTAGGGTTAAGGGGTGAGAAATGCCTGCATAATGATATGACCCATTCACCAGTGATCCTAGGGAATCCTATAAACCCTAGTTCATATATACCTAATCCCTTCAAGCAGGGTACAACCCCGGTGTCTCTCATGTCGCATCCTGCTACTCACCAAAACCATTTACAAACCTGAGCCCTAAACCCTTCATATGAACTTGATATCCAAACTCCAAGTATCCCCTTTCACAAGCCCTATAGTAGTCCCCTATACAGTCCCTTTCATAACCCCCTGTAAGGAATTTAGACCCTAAACCTTGAACCCTACATCCTAAACCCTAAACCCTCAACCCTATACAGTCCCATGTATAATCCCCTGTAAGGAGTTTAGACTATGGTTCGTATCAGAAGAGACGCCCTTCGGAGAAAACCTGGCCCATCCAAGATAGGACCTTGGGCGGTTGATCGGATGGCTGGTTAATTTAGGATTTAGGGTTTACAGCTTAGGGTTTAGGACTTACGGTTTAAGGTCTTAGGGTTAAGGGTGCGGTGCATAAGGGATGTAGAGGCTAGGGTTCAGGGTATCCAGAAAATGGGAGGGGGGGGTGTTTCTCTCGCAAGAACGCTGGAACCTCACAGCCCGCAAGGCACTTCACACACAACAATGCTACCTAAAACCTCATACCCAACAATCCTCAGTCGCCCCAACTCTGAATTCTTCATTTAAGAGTTAGCCACGACCTAGCGACCGGTACCGGCCTTCACCCCAATCCCTAGACCCTAAGCTCTAAGAGACAACGCGTATTGCCGTAAGCCGCACATGCCCAGATCCCGAACCTCCTCAAGCCCTTGGTACTTGGTTGCGAATGAAGGAACGGATCTGAAGTAATTCCCAAGAAGTTGCCCTGTAACAGTCCAAGACTCCAAACCCATAACCCCAAGTTCTCAACCCCTATAATCCAATCCCATTCTTCTAGTGACCACCAGGGCAGACAGCCCACCCCCAAATGGAGTCAGGAGGCGTGGAAGGCTGACGTTGCTCGCATCAAGGCCCCTTTCAAGATTTGGGCGTGAGTGGGCTTTAGGCTTCGGGGCTAGGGTTGGGGCTAACCGGGGTTAGGTAGAATAATTTCAATTCCCAATTCAATGCCATTTTGGTACTATTACCTATATACACACCAGCATTAAGGGTGAGGTCGGGTGAGTTTGCTTTAAATTGCCCAGGGCTTAAAACTTTGGAGCATTATTGTGGGGGTCTTCTCAGCTGGGGGGAAGTGGCGCGGAGGGCGGGGGGGGGGCGCTTGGGAAGACGATGAGGCAGAAGTGCTCATGACGGGGTTACAATGGTTCACTGGTGGGGCTTACATGCGATCTAGGGTTTAGGGGTCTACTCTGAGAAACTCCGATGCAGGCTCTGCCCCATTCTCTGAGTATTTATGTACTCCTGCTCGCATCCGCATGTACGCCCAAACCCTGCTGCTTCCCTCTATTGTACCCTGGCTTAGGGTTTAGGGAGGGTCCTGGTACATGACAATGAGTGTTCAATTTCCAAGGCAGGACCTCATGGACAGGAATGAACCTAATTAAACCCTAGACCCCAAACCCAAACCCCCAAACCCTAAAATCCTGAACCCCCAAACCCTAAAGGCAGTCGGACCCCTGTTGCAGTCATGGGCGCTGCGCCCGCGGTGCATGTCACATGTCATGTCTCCCTGCTCTCGCTACCGCACACTCTCCATCAACACCCTTGACCACCACCGTCACTTCATGGGTTCCCTAAATTGCAAGTAAGAGAGAACCTACATATAGCCCAAGTTAGGTAGATAGAATATGGCTGTGGGTACATTATAACAAGATGCCCATATACCCCACATTCTATCTACTTAAGGGGGACTATAGTCTTGCATTGAGGGAGGAACTCAGGAACCCATGACCATTACCAAGCTCCCAAGCGCCTCAGATTTGGGTGGCAATAGAACGCCCCATTGGATATTCCAAGGATCATGGTACTGGCATGCTCATGACTTGCTCATACTGTGCTGACCCTTGGCACCTGAAAGGAACTGACACCTGGAACTACAAGGCCCGATAGAGACTGTTGCACCTTTGAAGGGCGGCGAAGTTTTATTTCCCTCTTTGGTACCCCAAATACTAGGTGCCGTACTATAACTTATAACCAACAGGGACACACAGTTTTGAGAATATCCCATGCGAAAATCCATGCCAGTTTGGGGTCCTCCTCAAAGCCGACCCCTTCGACTCAATGACTCCTTAAGTAGCTCCTATATAGGCCATAGTCTAAACTCCTACAGTATCCCCGTAATAAGCCCTGTAGTAGTCCCTGTATACTCCCCTGTATCAACCCCCTGTTAGGGAATTTAGTCTCGGCCTCATATAACCCACCCATGACATGGAAATTACCATGTTCTTGTCCCATTCCTTCATCACGCTCCTCGCAACAAGAACTAAGTCAAACTCAGGATCTAAGCCATAGCCCCTCAATCCTATACCCTTAACCCCAAAGCCTAAAGCCCTAATCCCCAAATCCCAAACCCTAAGTCCTGACCCCAAATCCTACACCCTAAGACCCTGAGGCCTCTGAACCCTTTAAACCCTGAACCCAACGATTTTTTGGACGCCCCTGGAAACCCCAGACCCCAAACCCTAAAACCCGAACCCCTAAAACCCCTTTCACCCTATGAACCCTAAACCCTTGACCCTAAACCAAAGCCTACAACCCTAAAAAAGCCTAAACCTTAAAACCTCAAAACCTTATCAGCCCTATACACCCTAAACCCCAAGACACTAAATCCTAAGACCCTAAAACCCTAACACTTAAAACCCTAAAACCCTAAACACTAAACCCTTTAAACCCGAAAACCCTAAAGCCTTAAAACCGTATAAACCCTATGAAGCCTATTGTAAACACCATAAACCCGCGGCCTGATGCTTCGACCGAGCCATGTGGGCTATTC